CGAAATTCCCGTATTTTATTAAAGAATTTAGTTTATTTAAATTCATTTATGTGTGGATTTCTTTACCTATTATTGTGCATGCTACATTATTATATGAAGTTCATTGAATGGTGCATGTAAATTAATTGTGTATGTTAAAATAGTAAATTTATTCATTTAATTGTGCATGTATTATTATTATTAATTGTATTTGTTGATTATGTTTAATTAAGCATTATTATTTAATTAAAGTATTATATTTGTGTTATAAAGTATTATGATGATATAATGTATTCTTATGTAATAATAATAATAATAATTATAATAGTTTAATAATAATAATAATAATAATAATAATAATAATATAATAATAATAATATAATAATAATAATAATAATAATAATAATAATAGTATTAAATCATAAGTCATGATGAAATTAGAGATTAGGATATGATTTCATTAATGTTTATGGGTAAGACTTGAAGCCATATGGTTGGGAATGTGGTTAATTAAATGCAAAATTAGATATTTGTAATATTTATATTATATAAATTGTATATAAATTAGCTAGCCCACCTTAGAAGGAATGGAAGGGAGTTAGAAAAAGTTATAATTTTTAGTGAGCCATTGTAAAAGTGTGGAAAGGAAGAGAGAGAAAGAAAGAAGCTTGGACCGGTGTAGAAGAAATTTACCCGACTACGCGCAACCGACGGATTTATTTTAAATCCAAAAAGGCAAGTTATTATCTACTTTTCCCCTTTGAGTCCATAAATTATTCATTACATTTATTCGGCTATTTTTTTTTAGTTAGAAACCATGCTAGGACAATGCTAAATTAATTATTTAATTTATTAAAATAATGTGATATTAAATATTTAAGGGTTAAATAATTTATTATTGGCCTAGGTAATTAATTGAATCTTAAGAATTGTTATTTAAAGCTTTAGAATTTTTTCTAGAATTTTTGGGCAATTTTCGGAATTTTTCTGTATTTTCCGGCGACCTTCCGGCGAGTTTTCCGGTCGCCGGCAGTGGGGGAGATGACCGGAGTAATCCGGTGTGATACGGCGCACTATAGTTACTGTGCGCATGGATATCCGGCCGTTAGATGAGTAACTAATCAGCAGATTGATTCGGTGTAGTCCAATACACCATAGGATGGTGCGCGCGCGAACCAGGACCCTTGGATTAGAAGAACTAAGATAGAATTATCCAGTGTAGCGCGCCCACAACAAAGCCCATGCAACCACCGAATCAGGAGCCGCCGCGTCAGCAAGAAGCATTAGAGGGCGCGTAGAAGCGCGTGCGCGCGCGTGGCTGATGCCAGACGCGCGTGGGGGCGCGTGTAAGCGCGTGCGCGTGTGAGAAAAATGGCGGCGCGTGTGGGAAGCTCTAGGAGGCGCGTGAGGGCGCGTGTGGGGTCTCTACAGCTACTGGAAAAGTCCAGAATACCCCTAGGGCCTATTTTGTAAATTCCAGAACCTTAAACGTGGATTTTTTGGTACTGTGTTGGTATTTACGGGTTTAACGGGCCACGAAATTATTATTTTAATACCCGGTAATTATTCTTATGGCCGATTAGTCTTTTCTAAGCATTTATTTGCTCGTTTACAGTACGGATATTAATGTGATTTATTTAACGACATTGTTAAATATAGATGGTGTTATTATTTTATTAAATGATATTAATCATTGCTTTGAAATTTAATAATGCCATGGTTTTCGTCATATAAATTATCCATGTTATATTATGGGATGTTTATACTGTTAATCATATATAAACCATGATTATTAGGCTGTGTGCATTTCAGAGAATAAATGGACTGTTTTAATTATGTCGCATTTATATTATATGGATGTGTTGCCATATAGAACCATGTGAGCTGGCTAATAAGTTTAGACTCATTTATACCTTATGCATTCGTTGTGATAGACAGATGTGTGGCTGTCGGGGTATGTGGTTTAATATTATTGGCATGTGTTGCCTAATTGACATGCTCAGTATATTTAGTAATATTATTGGCATGTATTGCCTAATTTATATGCTCAGTATATTCATCAGTACTTTGAGAGGTGTTATCATTGTGTAGTTCGTTATAGTCTGTGTTGTCAGTACCGTGCACCATGTATAATAGCTGATCTCCCGGGTAGGGAAAGGCGACACTTAACCACCTAGTGTGAGTCTAAGTGATCACCGTCTATTCTGGTTGAGATCATGTTATACATTGGATAGTTCCCTTAGGATGTATACAGATATAGTACTCATCTGGATATAAAGGATTAATTTATTTGATTCTCTGATTTGGGTCATAGTAGAGAGGACTTGCTCGTGGGGTTGACCCACCATTGTTGTTATTTCAGGATACGGTTAGTACCCGTTCCAAGGTTGAGGTTAGCAGTGAGGGACCACCATCCGAACTCATCTACTCTTACGATCCAGTTCAGGGTAAAAGTTTTATGTATTACTTCAGTTTCAGTTTTTTTTTTACTTTTGACGTTGAACTCTCCGGTTTATATTTAGGGATCCTTGACATAGGATTTCCAAGTTGTAATGGAGTACTGTATTAAATAAAGGATGGATGGATGTTGTATTATTTAGTATTCCTTTCCTGTCTAAATTCTTTTATTACCATCATTTTGTATTCCATGCTTGTATATTGCCAATTGTTTTTGATATCCCTCGTTTTTCGTGTATAAGTCTGATCAACTTATGCGTGGAAAATGATGGGGGTGTCACAGTGGTGGAAGGTGGTGAAAGGCGATGGTGGTGGAAGGTGGTGCTAGTGGTGAAAGATGATGGTGGAATGTGGCGGAAGCCAATGGCGGTGGTGGCAATGTTGGTGGAAGGCAGTGGCTGTGGTGAAAGGCGATGACAGTGGTGGTGGTGGAATGTGGTAAAAGGTGATGGCGATGGTGGTGGTGGAAGGTGGTGGCGGTAATGGTGGTAATGGCGGTGATGAAAGGTGATGGCAGTGGTGAAAGGTGGTGGTGGTGGTGGTGGTGAAAGGTGATGGCAGTGGTGAAAGGTGGTGGTGGTGGTGAAAGGCGGTGGCGGTGGCAAAAGAAGATAGTGTCGGTGGTGAAAGGCGGTGGCGGTAGTGGAAAGCGGTGGTGAAAGTCGGTAGCAGTGGTGGAAGATGGTGGTAGTGGTTGTGGTGGTAAAAGGCGGAGGTAGTTATGGTGGAAGGTGGTTGTGATTTTTGGACTTAGAACATGAAGGGTTTTTTGGGAAGTTGATTTGCTTTTCTAAAAATTTTTACTTGGGAATGGAATGACCATTCCATAGGTTTAGTTGTGAAATTGATTTTCATTCTCAGGAATTGATCTTTATTCCAATGGAATGACCATTCTCACTTTAAATTGCATACCAAACAAATAAATGATTGGAATGAGCATTTCATTTCATTCCATTCTTGCACACCAAACACAGTATAAGGGTTGTGCCTCACTTACTCTGATATACTTTATTGTTTGTCCCACTCACCTTTTGACTTTCATCGTAAAAAGGGGGAGAAATGGACCTAGAACAAAAATTACTATATCCACCTTACATCAATGCAATCAAATTGAGGAAATTAATTGTGCAGTAAAAAAATTGTGGCTACAAGCACACAATCATGATCAAAAGAATATGTAAATTGCATCAACAAGCATAATATGGTAACATAACTAGTATTTAACCTAACAATTTTTATTTATCAAATCAATAGAATAGATAATGTTAATAGTTTTATATTTCGTGCGTCCTAGTTTCATACAATATTGCATATATAGGTCTTTATGTTAAATGTTATGATGAATTAATTTAATTATGTAATTATATACACTTTGCTAAGACTATATATTAATAATAGAAATAAATAATACAAGTTAATTTTTTTGACAAGTAAAAAATATATTTAAGCTAATATGCAACTCTATAATTTTTTTTAAAATTTTTGTAACTTCATCACTCTTTTAATTTCATTTAAAATTGGAATATCATAAAAAATAATAACAAAATAGTATTTAAAAAATTAATTATTATAATATATATAAACAAATTATAAAAATTGCTACGGTATTTTTTGTCACATATTTTTTATTAACATTCATTTCATTCATACTTTACCCGCACACACAAACACACACACACACACATATATGCATATTTTTACCATTTACATTTTCTTATGCCAAAATTTTAAAAGCATTTTTTAAGGAAAATCAAATTATACCCATACTAATTTTACTTAGGGATGGCAACGGGGCGGGTTTGGAGCGAGTTTCCCTAAATCCCACCCCGTCCCGTTTAATTTTTGGCAAGTCCATGCCCGCCTGTGCCCCGCAATGGATTGGATTTTCATATCCATCCCCACTCCGTTGGGAGATATTGTGCCCCGTGCCTGCCCCACTAACAATTTTTTTTTCACAATTTTCTTGGCTCAGAAATTGATCTGGTGTCCCCATTTGTCTTCCACAATTTTCTTGGTTGAATAGCCTAAATAGAAGAAGACGAAGAATAGATCAATCCCTATGCTTCTAAGAATAATAGATTTAATAAATTATAAAAAAGGGCGAAGAAGAATAGTCTACCTACGTGAGTGCGTACGTGGATTTACCTGAGGAAGAGAAACAGAGACTTAAGAAACAGAGATATTAAGCCTTAAGAAATTAGGGTTGTAAGAAATGGGTAACTGGGTAAGTCGGTAAAATAAGTTATTAATATATATATATATTAAATATAGTTATATGCTTAGTGGGGTGGGCGGATATGTATAAAAACCCTTACCAGCCCCGTGACCTGCAATGGGCACAAAATTTGTATCCATGTCCGCTCTAACGGTATAAAAAGTTATTTCCATATTCGTTATTAAAGGGGGCAGGACAGGGCGGGTCCTGGTGGAGCGGTAAAAATTGCAGTGTTTCTTGTGTAGGTATAAAACATAAATAAAAATAAAAGGTACGAGAGTATGAAAATCCTCTTTAAGAGGGTAGTAATGTCATTTTCTCACCCATCCCCCGCCCATCAAATACCCTAGTATCCCAGCAACCTCTCCTATATAAGGATTCTTTCATTCTTCACCGCCCCGCCTTGCCTCATTTTCTCTCTCTAAATCTGCATCGTACACCGGCGGCTGGAAGCCAAACTCAGAACCATGGTATGTCTCTCTATATTCTGTATTGTGTTTCTTTTATCTATATTTGATTACTGTATTAGTCTAACATATATGTTATTCGTACCAGGCTTCGGAGAAGAAACTATCGAACCCAATGAGAGAGATCAAAGTTCAGAAGCTCGTCCTCAATATCTCCGTCGGCGAGAGCGGAGATCGCCTCACCAGAGCTGCTAAGGTACTCCTTGTTATATCTCGGTGCACACCCATCTCACGATTACAGTCTCGTACTCAGCTATTGATCTAATTCCATATTCGTTCACTCACAGGTCTTGGAGCAACTCAGTGGCCAAACCCCTGTTTTCTCCAAAGGTGACTTTTCAATTTAATGCTTCGTTTTGTTGTTCAGACAATTTTGGGTCCTGGACTTTTTTTTCCCCTCCTTTTTCCATAAAATAGAAGTTTATTCTGAGCTGAGTCTAATTAGCATTACATATTTGGCTTATTCGATGTGTATATATCGTTTCTCTCTTTTTGGGTGATCTGAGCAACTCAATTCATAAGATTTATTATTATTTCTCTGTCTTCCCAGCAATCTAACTATGGGTAACTTTGATTGATTGGGTTTTGTCAAGCCTGTGAATTAATAATTATTTCTATTCAAATTTAATCTTATTTCCATTTGAAAATGTGGATAAGGGACAGGATGATAAATGTAGATAAATATATATATTTTTATTTCATCTGAGAAAGTATAGATCTTTTATGCTAATCGAAGCCTAAAATCAATATCAGTGGGCTGAGTTGAGTTTACAATTATTTGAAACTATATCAACTTAATTTGAGTTCAATGTGACAATGCTGTTTCTCCTTCAAGTAGTTTTCACATTTTATCTAAGTGACAGTACATGTGTTATGTTGCTGTTGCTGTGTGTAATTAGCTTATGTCTTTTTGGGTGATCGAAAGAACACAATTCATAAGATTCGTTATTAGTTCTTTGACATCTCAGCAACCTAATTATGGACAGCTTTGATTAATTGGATTCTTCTCAAATCTGTGATTTCAGTAGTAATGTTTCATTTTATTGGGATGAAAGCTTGATGAACCGTTCGAATATAATTTTATTTCCGAGAAAATTTAGGAGAAGGGAAGGATTATATATAAATGTGTATATACATATACATATACATATATATATACATATATATATATATATATATGTATATGTATGAATCTTTTATGCTACTCGGAGCCTAAAATCAATATTGGTGTAGCTGAATTGAGTTTTTCAATTATTTGAAATGAATCCACTTAATTTGAGTTCAATTTTGTTTCTCCTTCTATTAGTTTTCATATTTGCTCTAAGTGACAGTAAATGTGTTGTTGATTGGTTGAGCTCTTATTTTTTTTAGTAATTTTTTTTTTTTTTACTATCTATGATGTTATTTTTATGCGGATATCTGTTGTAATTGAACAGCAAGATATACTGTGCGGTCTTTTGGAATCAGGCGTAATGAAAAAATCGCATGCTACGTCACGGTCAGGGGTGACAAGGCAATGCAGCTTCTGGAAAGTGGGTTGAAGGTGAAGGAATATGAGCTGCTGAGGAGGAACTTTAGTGATACTGGCTGTTTTGGCTTTGGTATTCAGGAGCATATTGATCTTGGAATTAAGTAAGTGGTCTCTTTAACGATGTTTCATTTTTAATGAATTGAACATTTGTCACATTGAGCAGTTCTTTTTTAATTCCTAAGTAGCATAATTTCAATATATAATTGTGTGTTGTTTCTTCTTTTTTGAATATTACAAGTAAAGCAGTTTGGCAATAATTTCCCACAGTATAATGTATTGATCAACAAACAGACTTACGACATAAGTTATTTTCAGTTGATTATAGATCATTTATAATTAAGCTATTTGTCTTTCTCCCTTTCCCCAACTCCCTAACGGGAAAATGTTAATTTGTGGAATTTACTTGCATCTGTTGTTGAATGAGGTCGTAAGTTATTTATAAAAAAATTGTATGCGTAGCCAGGAACTTCTGTATGCTAGGGACATGATCAGAACAATCAACCATTTATGTGGACTGTGTATTATGCTTGGGAATGGGATATTTGATTGCTTAACATATTATTTGCATGTCGCTTTTAATATATTTTTAGGTTCCTGATCTATATGATGTATAAGTGTATGGAAGAAGTATTGAGGTATTGAAGAATTAAAAAAGGTCTATGTTTGGACGGTAGTTTTAGTGTTTCTCATTAGGTTCTTTCAAAGTCCAACTATAGAATGTGTAAAGACGGAAAATGGGTAGAATGATTTGCAAACTGCCCATATTTGGATGGGAGCCTACATAAATAATTGGACTGGGCTGTGTTTGGATTGGTTCCTCCATCATGAGTCAGATTTCATTGCCATCACTTGGTCAACCTTTTTCTGATCATGCCTAGTTGGGTTCTTTTACCCGAACTTGAGCTGATGACAAAATATGATCTGTATTGGCAAAATAGGACAGCAGACACTGCAATTTAGAAAGTATAATGTTTCAACATATACTTCTATTATATAATTAAATATATAACTATGATTAGTTTTTTAGATTTCTATATTGTGAAAGATGATCTTCCATAAATTTTGTAAAGGCTCTATTGTATATATTACTTCATCTTCTGTATTTCTGTCTTTACAAAATATATTCTTATCTTGTATTTAAAAATTTGGGAATAAACTTTGCTGAGTCAAGTATCCTATGTTAAAAGTGTCTGCTGGTTGCTTAACTCGTGATGATTGTGTGTGTGCATCTTCATAAAAGGGAGGTTAATCTTTTAAAAAAATATAACGATCTTGTTATGAGGATTTCGAGGAAGATATTTATTGTGTTTGTGCTGCAAAAGTCGTGCACTTAGAAGTCTCTGTAATTTATTGTTAAGTGTCCAACACAATGAAATTGATTTTGAATTATTGGCACATTCATAAAGTTGTCAGATACGTGTGTGTTTGTGTGTGTGTGTGTGAGAATTCATTAAGTGTCCTTTAACGTGTTTGTCAAGCACATGGCACCTATATAGTGTCCGTGCTTCGAAGGTTGCCATTGCCCGTTTCAACACAGTTGTTTTCTGAGTCATACTTCATGTTCCATTTCTAATATTGTTTTGCGATGATCATGTTGCAAATTTAGCAACATGCTCGCACACACTCTCCATGTTGGGCTTGAACTGCTACGGGGGTAGAGCTCGCACTACCTTGGCCAATGGCCCAATTAAAATTTCTTAAATAAAAAATTTCCTTTTGTCCTTTCTTAATAAGGTAGTGCCTCAATATCTATGTATTAACTGCATATCTATTTCTGGCTCCCTTCTTTTATTTGAATGGTTATATTTGCTATCAGGTATGATCCTTCAACTGGCATCTATGGCATGGATTTCTTTGTAGTGCTGGAACGCCCAGGCTATCGTGTTGGTCGTCGTCGTAGGTGCAAGGCTCGTGTTGGCCTCCAGCACAGAGTCACAAAGGAGGATTCCATGAAGTGGTTCCAAGTCAAATACGAGGGTGTGATCCTAAACAAGTCCCAGAATATCGGTTCTTAGATTTCAAACGGTATTGGACCATTTCGAAGTTTTGGTGAGCTTAAATTTATGATTTCTTCTAGCAAAAGTCATAATCAATCTTAGTTACAAATTTTAATTGTGTTGGTTTCTTTTGGGAACAAGCGCATATTATCATTATTCAATTTTCTTCTAAAGAGATTTCTGAGCTGTACTATTTTTGTAGTTCACAGTATTTAGACTGCCAAGACTATTGTGAGAAATGATGTTTTATGATTTTATGGTTGTTCTGGCTTTTTACTCTTGCCAAAAATTAACAAAAGAAAAATCCTACCTTTAGTCTTCAACTATTCTAAAGTTTGCAGAAACTTTCCTACCGTTTGTCCACTGTCAAGAAATAGACGATTGTAGTTATTATGTGCACAGCGCATGACCACATATTTTACGGTAATACACTTATGTTGGCTATCGTAATCTTTAACCCTTATTAATTATCATATGGTATAAAATCTGATCCATCTTCCATTTGCCTCGGAATAGAAATTCGTATTTGCCATTGTTAAAATTCAAAAATGTGTTTTACCCATTATATTTAGCTGCATGGAAGGAAATTTTAATTTATATTTTTGTAATTTTTTAACTATATATATTTTTTTTCTTTCAATTTCATGAGCCTGTTTGGGATTGGTTCTCTATTCTTTAAAAGCCGTTTGGGATTGCTTCTCTACTCAGTTTGGGATTGCTTCTCTACTCTTTAAAAGTGTGTTTGGTACTTTTAATGATTACCAAATTAAGCATGGTAGAGCGGGATTGCTTCTCTACTCTTTAGAAGTGTGTTTGGTACTTTTAATGATTACCAAATTAAGCATGGTAGAGTGACTTAATGAAGTTAGAATTTTGAATTTTTAAAAATTGAATATTTTAGGTAATTCTTTTTCATTATTCAACTATGTCTTTTTTTTTTTTTTTTTAAATAAAGACAATTACACTCCTTCCCTAATAAAGTTAGTATTAACAAATATGGTAATATTTTATTAAAGGGTATTATTATAAAATTAGCAATAAAAATATTTAAAAAACAATTGTTACAAATTAAATTAAAAACTAATTTAATTATGAAAAGTAGCTATTGATAAAAGTGCTTTTTTTTTCATTTCAACCGCAACCCCAAAAGAGACCAAATCGCAATTCATCAACCTGTTCAACTTCTCCAAAAATACAGCAATTCATCAACCTATTCAACTCCTCCAAAAATAGAGTCTCCTTAGATAGATGAGTGTTCTCTGTTCTATCGGAGCTTCTTTGTATGGATGGTTTTGTTTGCCATCTTATCTGTGTGTAGTTTTTTCTCGTTTTCGAATCACTCTAGCAAAGCTAACTATGTTTTTCAAGATATGGTGGAGCATCTTTCCTTTGCTTGTATCTTTTACCTCTTATTTTACTCATCTACTTTTATGGTTTCTTCTTAAAAATTGAAAGGCCATCATCATCACGTTACTCATTTTCAAAAGTATGAAGATGGCCATTGAAAGGCCATATTAGCATAATGAGTAAATATCCACTAATTACAAAAGTACACTGATACTCAAATATTATAATGAAAATTTAGAAGAAACATAAATGATCTAATTCTTTGTTTTTTCGTTTAATGGATCGTAAATTTCATTGATTTATAACTAAATTATGAACAAGCTCATCTCGAACTTAAAAACTAAGTAAAAGAATAAAAAAATCCCAATCATACTAATAGACCTGTAAATAGATCGAATTCGGACCGGATCAGGCTCCATCTAATTTGAATCTGATAAACATTTAGTCTATTCGATCCGATTCGATAATTCGACGGATATTTTGTAAGTTAATTCGAATCCAATTTGTTAATAAACGAATATTCGATCCGATAAAAATGTAAATTTTTTTATAACTAATATATATATATATATATATAAATTAATGTCAAAAGAGAATTAAAAAAATAATAATAATGATTATAAGAAAAAGATATAAAACAAGATAAGTAAACTATGAAAGGAAAAGAAAAGAAAAATTATTTACTCAGACAAAGAGTATGATATTATTAGTATGTTTATTAGGAGATTTATTAGTAACAGTATTATACATATAACATTATGAATTATTTTTCTATTTTTTGGCTTACCTTTAATACAAATCTAATAAGACTATTGATATATATATATACACATATATGTAAAATTATTGATAAATAATTATATATATATATATATATAATTTTATGAAGATCGGATCGGATTATTATCAAATCGCATCAGCATAATCCATATCTAATTTGTTAGGCTAACAGATTATCAGATTCGTATTGTAATCGGATTATTGGATTTTTTGTTCAAGTTAATTGAATTGAATTCGGATCAAGATCCGCTCCATTGACAGGCATAAGTACTAACATAAGATACAAGGATTTTGATTTAGCAAGCTTTATTATACAACATTGGTTATTAATAATCTAATGGCTTTAACTATGAACATAAACGTTTGCAAATATTAAACTTCTTTTTTTTCATCGCACAACGAATGATTTTTAAAATCATAGGTAGCATCTAGAGGGAGAACTTGATAAAGTTCACTAGGATGGCTACGACATAGACTAAAATGGTTAATGGTGGATGAATTATTAACATCAAACCACAAACGAGATGGGTACGACTGCAATATGGTTCAGTCCAGATATTTCTTTTACTCCCTCACCTCAAAATTCTTATGTTATTAAGAATAATTTTTCAAATTTATCCTTATTAAATGTTAAAGGAGTACTCCATGTGCCAAATGATAATTTGGAAATGTTCTAAAAAGTAAATACATTATTAGATGGTCCTGGTCTATTTGACACTTAGTGGACTAATTCAATGAAAACTCTCCAATCATGAAACTTTGTAATTTATTAATACACTTTTGTGAGACCATTTTTTCAATTCGAGAGTCTGTATTTTGAAACACACGTGCCTCCATTAAGGATCGAATTCCTGACTTTCCTTTGGAAAATAAGGCCATTGTCCGGTTGGTCACCTGAAGCAAAAATTAGGAAAAGAGAAGTGGTTTATAGATCAGTCACAAATACTATTTCTTTCATCCTGAGCAGGCAAAGCAGCCAAGCATTCTGTCCCGACATAAACAGCCTAACCTAATCAAACAACGGCTCAACGAAATCATATTCAAGTAGCAATTGTGCCAAAAAAAAAAAAAAAAAAGTAGCAATTGTATATTCTGAAAAGGTTTCATGACTGTCAATATGTTAAATGGCCCTAACCAGAAATAAAATTTTCTATTGATTCAAGGACTAAATCAGCCAGCAATATGATTCTTCTATATAATTTCTATTTGATTTGCCCCGAGAAAGAGAAAAAAAAAAAAACAAAAAAAAACTAATTCAAACATAGATAGCATGATTTCATGGCAACTTTTATGCTTCTCATAAATTTTGACTTGCATCAATAATTCTTGTCCCTCCAAATTATTCCAATTCATTGTCCACTCTAGGTCCTGTGAAGCCAATAAAGAACAAATTGGGAAGAGAACTGATTTTCATCCTCAGTAAGAAAATCAGCCAAGCATTCCATAAACAGGCTACTATAATCAGACAACGGCTCAATGTCATCACATTCAAGTAGCAATTGTAGATTCTGAAAAGGTTCCATGATTTTGTTTATATAATAAAAACAAATAAATTTCTCTATTGATTCAAGGAATAAATCAGCCAGCAATAGAATGTTCTGCTATCCTTCGACATGAGATATACTACCATGACTTCTTGTTGTAGAGGAAATTAGAGAACTAGAACATTCATAAAAGTCAGTATACTCACCAATACTAGCATGTTTCCACCCTATGACGGTGTATTGATAGTTCTTTATGGTACTAAAATCCATCAAAATTGTTTTTGCTGCACTTGTATGGAGAAAAAAGATGAGAGAAATTGCAGTGTATAATAGCAATTTACGATCATCAATCTTTATATTGTAAAGTTTTTACTTTCCCAAAATCACAATGACCCATCAGCCAGCATACCGCAAACAATCCGATGATTGAAAAAAATAATTGAAATTTCAGAAGAGAAAATCTGGAGAAACAAATGAGATTATTTTTACTTTCCAAAAATCACTAGAACATCAATTATGCTAAAGAGTTGGAGATATTTGAAACTTCAGGAGAGAAAAATCTGGACATTGACAATAACTAGTCAAAAACCTTTGAACTCACAAATAAAAGAATTTCAAATGACTCTTAAACACTAACTTCACCTATCAAATCCACAGGGAAAAGAGAACAAATTCAGCATACAATGCATGTACACAAGGTCAGATAAACACTAACTTCAACTATCAAATCCACAGGGAAAAGAGAACAAATTCAGCATTCAATGCATGTACACAAGGTCAGATAATCATTTAGATATTTAAACGTATATAAGGCTTAACTGTATGTCACTCAATTGAGATGACAATAGCAGTAACTCGGCCAATAACATTATCAGCTGTTGAATAACAAAGCTTGAAGCAGATAGAACTACCCAGAATTATGGTTAATCCCTACAAAGAGCGCCTCAGAGCAAGCAAAATCAGATGAATAACCATGGTCCCTACTAACAAGGTCGAAGTGCTAGAACACAAGTAAAAAAAAAAAAAAAACAATTACACTAAACAATGTATGATTAACAGATTGTAGAAGGGAAAATGTATCAACAACAGGAGATACAAACACGAGAACAAAAAATTCATCATCGATTCAACACAACAGGGCATACAAATGCAAGAACCAAAAGTTGAAGCAATTTTATTTTCACATTTGAGGTTTTCAATGTCAACATTGTGAACTACTCCTAAAAGCAAGCTTCTTCCTCAGTAAATCCCATTTCAAAATGTTATCTCTGGCATTCCTCTCCATATAAACCAAAGCAATCACCATACTTGCTCTAAAATCTATTTGCCACATTGTTCTAGATGGGTTCAGGATAAGTCAGCAATAACACCTTTGAAATACCAATTTCATTTTTCTTGCAAAATACATTTCCAATTCAACAACATAAAAACAGATGAGAGATGACAAACAAACATCTGGAGAAAGAACATGTCATGGAATGATGAGCTTCTTCCCAGCATAGATGGTGTCCCCTGTTAGCCCATTAGCCTCCTTAATTGCCTCAATTGAAACCTAAACTCAGCCCAACAAAGAAATTAAAAAAAATAATTAAAAAAATTAAAAGAAACACTGAATAAACTCATATCAACAACACCCAAAAATGAAACCTAAACTCAGCCCAATATAACGAAAATAAAAAAGAAACACTGAATAAACTCATACCAACAATACCCAAAAATGAAACAACCAAAAGTGAATTTTTCTAATGAAAAAAGAAATGAAGGAAAGTGGAGAGAAATTTTACCCCATATTCTCTAGAAAGACCCCAAAGGGTGTCTCCACTTACGATCTCTACTGTTCTTGAGGACGATTGAGGCACATTTTGGTCCGTACAACTTGTGGGTTTCTAAACCAAAATAAAATAAATAAAAATTTAAATAAATAAAAATAGAAAAATCATATATTTATGTGTGTATGTGTGATTGAAGAAATGGTGTAATACCTTGATGACGATGGGTTGTGGAGGAGGTGGGGTGTGGGATGGTTGAGGAGTCGAGTCGGGGAGTGGATTGGGTTCGTGATTAATGGGATTGATGTTTTTGAGGGTTGGGTTGTTGTAGGGATTGAGGGCTTTGAGAATACTCATGGCGATGCCTGAGAAGACCACGAAGCCGGCGGTTTTGGCCACGGATATGTCCTTTTCCTTGTCCTTGCCGTCGTCGTCGGCAGATCGATGGTCCGACATTGGGTGTTTGATTTTGCAGAGTTTTTGTTCGGAGAAAATATGGGGAGGGTTTTAGGGTTGGACAAAGAGGACTTCGGTGGCACTATGGTGTGACTCCAAATCTACAACAAATCACCTCTCCCGCAAGTGAATAATTTTGGAATTATCGTGATAAAACACACGCTGAAATTATATAACAATAAATTTTAAACTATACATGGTGTTACGGGGCTAAATTACACCAGGAATTTTTTGCCTCTGTAATGACACTTGGGGCCACCAAATCTCAGCCAACACTACAACATAATACACACAGTATAAAAATGTAAAGAAGGCACACACAGTTTACAGGGACAAGTCCCAACCTTTGCTCATATTACAAAGGAACATGAGTTCGTACAAGGAACCAAGGCTCATACCCTCCTCTCTGTTCCCTCTACAAAGCCCACCTTAGCATTATATAGGCCACTCTCAAAACCGCCCATAACTGCCCACTAAGATGATGGATGACACCCCCATCCACCTAGGATCATGCTGGCACCCTCTAAATGTGCCAACACTATAATGCAGTTGACAAGCCCAACTGCTAGACTTGTTGGCATGTTCTGTTCATGCCACATAACCACAAGAAGTTACATTCTGCATAGTGGAAGAAACCACCCTTAACTGCCTGTGTGTTGATCCTCTCAGAATTGTGCCACATGTTTGGGAGGTTACTCAGCACTCCCCCACTTCCCATGATGAGTGGGAAGTGCTAGTAACTTCCCCCAACCGACCGAGCCCACTTAGCCACCACCTCTTGTAACCGCAAGCCATGACTTTGTATTGTCCATGCTCTAGCCACATCTGAGTCAACCTTGTGAACCTAGCCCAAGCCAAGTCCACCAATCTGCACCCACATATATATGTCTCTGAGTGCACGGCGTGCCAAGCCATGCATGCCTGTGCGCACGCTCGGGTGCACACCAAAGTGCACGCCGACGTACACGCTAGTGCCCTTCTACACGCGCCATGTTTGAACCCTCATGCGCTCGTAGCTGTACTCCCATGTGCACGCCGAGCTAAATGCTCGCGCACACTAGGTTGGATTCCTGCCCGCGCGCCCACCTGCACGCCCGCACGCGCGCCGCTACACACCAGCGCGCGTGTCGGTGCCCATTTGTTTGCCCTTCAATATCTTGGATGCTCCCCACTTGTGCAACCATCTTGGAGTGGTGCAACACGTGCCCATACACGTTGGCTAAGCCCTCTAAGCAAGCCATGCCATAGCCCAACCGATGTGCTCAACAGACCCCTCCCTAGTATAGTCTTAGGGAAATCCAGCACTCTGACAGGAGTAAACATCACCCATGCTTGAGGAATCATAATAGCCTTTCAGGCCTTTCACGACATCCAAATTGAGTGCTGTCTGCGCCAGCCAGCTTCTATGGACTTAAGGTACCTCCCATAAAGATCCCGAGTCAAAACTCCAAGTTTCACTTTTTGCCATATTTACGAAAGTGCCACTGGGCACCCCCAGTGCACACCGACATCCTTTTAAGCATCTTGTGTGCACGTTGAGCATCTTGTGCACGCTGACAACCCACTGAGCATCCTCATGGCTGTCTAACCAAAGCCAAAGTATTCCCAAGACATGGCATGGCCTTGAAATGCCCATGTCTTCCCTTGGACAACCGTTAAGGGGCTAACAAACCACCCCCACCAGAAGAAGTCGACGCCCTCATCGACTTGTCTAAGTACTCCCTTACCTGTTTCTCAAACTGCCATAATGTCACATCCCTTTCCCAACTCGCCTCTGCTTTACTGCATCCTTTCCACTGCACCAAGTAATCAGTTCTGCGATTTTTCTTACTCTGACCCTGGGTCCGGTGAGACAAAATCTTCTCTACCTCCTTGTTAAACTGCAACCGAATAACAGGTGGGGCTCTCTTAGCCTGTTGTCTTGATGTATCTGTAGTGTCCTCATGAAAAGGCTTGAGGAAACTCACATGAAAAGTAGGATGGACCTTCAGTCTCTCAGGTAACTGTAATCTGTAAGCAACATTCCCCACTTTCTTCACAATTTCAAATGGACCATCATACTTCTGAATCAGCCCTCTGTGAACAGTCTTGCTGCTTATCTTCTTCCAAATCTGTGGAGTCAATTTCATCATTCTCGCAGCCTTGGCAAGGCTGTCATGTGCCTCCTCCACCATCTCTTGCATGGAACGGGCATATCGGTGTGTTGCAAGGCATCTTCCACCAGTCCTCTGCACTGCCACCTCCTGTGGTGTGCAAGGTTGTTGCCCTGTTGCCAACTCAAAGGGACTCATTCTTGTTGCTGAAGACCTGTGCAAATTATAAGAAAATTGTGCAGTGTCTAGCAACTCCTGCCAATTTTTCTGACTTGCAGTGACATAGTGCCTCAGATATTCTTCCAATAACTGGTTCATCCTTTCAGTCTGTCCGTCAGTCTGAGGATGGTTTATTGTGGAGAATTTCAGTTCAGAACCCATCAAGCCAAATAGCACTGTCTAGAACCTTCCTGTAAATCTGGTGTCACGATCACTAACAATATCCTCGGGCAAGCTAAAATATTTCACCACAAATTTATGAAATAAACTAGCAGCAACTTCCACTGGGCATGCATGTGGTGCAGCAATAAAAATTGCATACTTAGAGAATCTATCTACTACCACAAAAATAGATCTCATACCTTCCACCTTAGGAAAACCATAAATGAAGTCCATTGAAACTGACTGCCATGGACGCTCTGGTATAGGCAAGGGTTGCAGTAGCCCTGCCTCATTCTTCCTCTCATGCTTGTCTTTCTGACAGACCAAGCAAGTCTTGACATATAACTCTATGTCATCCTCCATCTTGAGCCAGTAATATGATCTGGATATCAACGCCAGCATTCTATCCACCCCTGGATGTCCAGCCTACTGAGGATAATGCATTTCCCGCATTAGTTCCCGTCTCAAACCTCCAACAAGAACATATAATCTACCTCCTCTGGCGTAGAGTAGATTATCTTCAATCCAGTATTTTCTGACTTCACCATCAGCAACCTGTTGCTTAAGTTTCTGATAGGCATTGTCGGACTGGGATTGCTGTCTAATTCTGTCAAGGAAATCAGTATACACCGTTGTCAACGACGCCATATACTCCTGCACTTCTTTCCTACTCAAGGCATCAGCAACCTGATTCTGCTTTCCAGGTCTGTGAACCCACACAAAATTGAACTCCCCAAAAAACTCTTGCCAACGAGCTTGCTTTGGAGTAAGCTTTTTCTGTGTCTTGAAGTAGGTATTGGCCACATTATCAGTCACCACTGTAAACTTGGTACCCAACAGATAGTGCTTCCATGCGTCAAGACAATGTATCACTGCAGTCATCTCCTTCTCGTGAGTTGTATACCTCTGTTCAGCATCCTTAAGCTTCCTGCTTTCAAAGGCACATGGGTGTCCTTCTTGGACTAGGACCCCACCAATTGCTCTGTCAGAGGCATCAGTATGCACTTCAAATGGCAAACCAAAGTCAGGCAGTCTCAAGACCGGTTCTGTAGACACTGCCTGCTTAAGCATCTCAAAAGCTTTCTGGCACTCCTCAGACCAAACCCACTGTTTGTCCTTCTTCAGTAAGTCCGTTAAAGGACTGACCTTCTTGGAATATCCCTTTATAAACTTTCTGTAGTAGTTTGCCAACCCTAGAAAAGATCTCAACTCTGTCACTTTGGTAGGTGCAGACCAATCAAGGATGGCTTTCACCTTTCTCTCATCCATTCTGACATGGCCCTTACTGATCCAATGCCCCAAAAACATCACTTCTTGGTGATAAAACTCACACTTCTCCTTTTTGACATATAACTGAAACTCCTTCAGTTTTGAGAAAACTAATCTCAAGTGTAACTCAATAAGAAAGGGCATTATAGTCATTTAATGAAATATAGCTTAGGCATTGGGGCATTTTGCAGCAAAATGTGATAGTTTAAGGGGTATTATGCACAAAATATAGTTAAGGGGGGTTATTTGCAAATTCGAATATAGTTTAGGGGTTTTTTTTTGCACTTTACCCAATTATATATAAAGAGTGGAAATGTCTTTGTGATTGTCTTTGAGGGTATATGGGTAAATTTTGATTCAAAAGTAAGGGTGAAAATGTCTTTGCAATAATAGGCAAGGTTAGTTGTGGTAATTCATGCTTTCAATGGCTAACATCATAATTGACCGGCATTGACCATCATCGGAAGGGGCAAACTGCTATAACGGAGCTAACTTTGAGGGAGATTTCTGTAATTTTTGAAATGTTAGGGGTACCGTCTGTAATTAGGCCTAACCTTGAGGGAGGCAAGTGATATTTCCCCATATTATTACCATTACGATGGTTGAATAAAAAATAATATTAATAATAATAATAAAAAAATTTGTTTTTACATTTATTTTTTGATTTCAAGTGTTACAATTTTTTTTCTTTTTTATGACAAAAAAAACAAGAGAAAACGAAGGAGAGAGAAAAAGAGAAAAGAGAAAAGAGAGAGAAAATAAAAATAGGATTTTGTTTGAGCGGGTTAAGATGGGTACCCTTTTTTAACCCACTATTGACCCTCAAATTGAATGGGTACCCATTTTTTACTCGTTATTGACTCACTCATTTAAATTTGAATACCCAAATTATTTAAATTTAGTGGGTGGGCTTGACCGGCTTAATGGATTTATGCTTAAATTGCCACCCCTAATCACAATAAACAAAATTGAATTATGATTCCTAGATATTAAAATTCAACCCTTAGGCATGACAAAAGTATATGTCATATTATAGAAAACTTGTGACTATGAAAATGAAATCGATGAAAGAAGAGTCCTAGTTGGCTTACTTAATTAGTATGATATATAGATACATTCAGAGTATTAATTTATTTAGTCTTGAACTTAGAAATTTCTTTTTTGTATCATATTATAATTGTTAATTATTCGCTTAAATATAATTAATTTAGCTTCTTTTTTTTTCTTTTTCTTTTTTCTTTTTTAATTTTACAAAATGTCTCTATAAAATTCTCCATTTTTTAAAATCTCTCTATAAAATTCTCCATTTTTAACAATCTCTCTAACTCTTTCTGTCTTAATTTTTTTTTTTATTCTTGCACTCCTCCTATATGATGTATGTGCAA